GAGGCCACTAAGTCCAGAGGACAGGCGGAGGAAGTTGGGGCTATTCAGCCTGGAGAAGAGAAGGTTGCGTGGAGACCTCGTAGCACCTTCCAGTATCTGAAGGTCCTACAGGGGAGCAGGAGAGGGACTCTTTGTTAGGGGCTGCAGTGATGGGTCAAGGGGTAATGGGTTCAAATTGAAGGAGGGGGAATTTAGGCTAGATATTAGGAAGAAGTTTTTTCCTGTGAGGGTGGTGAGATGTTGGCATAGGTTACCCAGGGAGGCTGTGGCTGCCCCAACCCTGGCGGTGCTCTCAAAGTCAGGTTGGATGACGCCTTAAGCAACCTGCTCTGGTGGGAGGTGTCCCTGCCCAGGGCAGAGGATTGGCACTGGGTGATCTCTAAGGTCCATTCCAACCCCAAAAATTCTGTGATGGCTTGGTACTCATTTAATTACAGAGGAGTTTCCATATGAGGTGAAGAAAGCTGGGCAGAGTCAGAGGCAAATGTTTTCCCTTCCAGCTTTTTATACATGCCAACCTATCAGAATAAAAATTGGGCCCATGCAATATTGCACTACTACAGCATTGCCATAGTTGGCCTGTGGAAGTGTGAGCTATTCTTGCCCTCGGAGGACAGCCCAGAAAAGCCAGGCATCAAAGAAGCCAGGGTTCAGCCCATATACAAACCCAGAGACAGACACAGCTTGGAGTGCAAACTGTGCCATGCCCTGGAATAACAGAGATAGTGTTCCCTTTGGCAGCAAAGTAAAACACCGAGATGCTTCAGGGGCAAAAAGAAAAGCCATGCAAATGTAACCCCACTAATGCCAAATTCTCCTCCTGGCTCAAGAGTGCTCTGAGGGACAGTTTGCATGGTCAGCACAAATCCTTCCAAGAAGGGCATGCTTAAGCCCTAAAACCAGTTTGACACCAATAAGCAGGCTAACCTCGGCTGTACTCAATACCAACACACTCTGCCAAGTGTAAGGAGAGATGAGTAAAGCAAACATGCAGCATTAGAGGGTCCTGGAATATTAAAATGAGGCAGTATATAATTTGGCAGGATTTTAAACATCTCTTTATACCCTGAGCAGGAAAAAAACATATTGCTAAGCTTCACTCAACATAAGGAGATCAGGCTGTATTTTGAGAAAAAAAAAGTGAGATTCAAACTAGAAATCATGCTATGGCCAAAGAGTCTTCTTAAGCCCTTGTTTTAAACTCTCTATCTTATGGGAGTGAAGAGAAGGGACATCAGTGAGGAGTTAAAGCTTTGACCTTCCCTGCAAGATGTAATCTGCCAGAAAACACCCTGGGGGCTCTAGAGTTTAGTCACCTTGTGTCTTTTTCCTCATCCCATTACAGCATTGCTTATTTTCCCCATAACACTCCTATTTTGTAGTTGCTATGACAATTTGTAGCATTAGTTGCACTGCTGTACACATGGAGAGATCAGGACACAGCTTCTCTTCCAAGATTTAATAATGTTATACTTGAGTAGGAAAGTTAGACTTAGTCCTGCTGGTTACTTGCACTAGTAGGCTAGTTAGATGCTCCAATCCAGTCTAACTCTGATGCAGTATCATCCTTGAGCTCAGATATAGCTCACAAACTGCTCGTTACAGAACAGTATGAGCATAGGAGATGATCCAGTAATAGTAAATAAAAAGCCAGTGCACTCAAGGCTGGATTGTCCTCCCCATTTGGCATGTGGAAGCAATTTGGAGGGAGTTTACAGCTTAATGCAAAGGGACACTGGGCAAATAGGCAAAAATTCCAATAGGGACTTAGGGGACACATGCTGTCTGATTCACAGGCGAGGAGAGGCAGTCCTCTCCTTTGCTTTTAAGGCACAGCCTTGAAGTTACTCCTTCTAACTACCCTTGAACAGATTTGTCTCTGAAGTTGAAGGGCTCCTCAGCTTTGCCATGTCCCCCAGAAAGGGCTATAAACACCAAGCACATCTGATCATTCAGTCTAGTCTTGAAGGGCTCATGTTTGGATACTAGTAAAACCCTAAGTAACTATTTCAATCCTGTTTTGGGGAGGGGAAACCAATATCTGTGCATGTGTCCTCTAGTGAAACACTCAGAGTGTTTCAGAGTGAAGTACTCCTTTGTGGTTGCCCTGTCCTGTTATCAAGCATCTGATGTGTCCATCACATGCCTAACAAACTGAAGCCCCAGGGCCATGTCTCCCCACAGTGTCAGTCACACTGTCTGCAACAGGTACGCAGGGACTATCAGCTTACCCCAACTGAAAATTCAGCACTTCTGTGTCAATCTTTTCCTTCAGTACTTCATTTTTCAGTGGGTCTGTCCCTTCTTTTGCCCTCATTTACACAAAACATCAGTGCTGCAAAAGACCAGAATAACCATAGTCTTAACATCTGACCCATAGCAACGTGCTCACAGTCATCTTAGTGCTTATCTGATAAACTAATGCTTTATGGAAGCAATTATGTTCTATCTGTAGTGCCTGATGCTAACGCACTCCGCAGGGCTGGCACGCTCCGTCCCCCTCCTCCCTTCACAAGTCATTCAAAATATAAAAGGAAACTTGATATTGGCTGGCTCAGCAGGAGGAACCACTTGACATTCCTCAGTCAGAGGAGGCAGAAAGGGAGATTTTTGTAAATTGGAGCGGACAATTGCGGAGTTGGTTCTCATTGCGGTACAATCCACTGTCTCCATGCAACAACCTGCACTGGAAACACTGTAGCCCAAGGATACCCACTGCTCCTAAATCAGCAGTGTGGCTCTGGGGCAGCCCACAGGGCTGGGCTTCCTCCAAGATTTATACCATCCTCACTGGCTGTGAGAAGTCCCAGAGAAGTACAGTGCTGTTTCCTCCTGAGCTGGAAAGCCCCGTGAACCTCCCGCCAGCAAATGTCCTTCCATGTCCTGACTCCAGAGGAAGTGTTCAAAAGTCCCATTGATCACCCATCAGAGCTCCAAGCTAATGCTGGTTTTGTTCTTGCCAGTCTTCTCCACTCTGCTGGGTTTATTCTGATTATCATCTGCACCTGGGTTAATTGCTGCAATTGAGTGATAAGGGTGGTGAAACGGGATGTAAATGAAGCAGGAAAAAAGGAAGGGGAAAGACCTGGGTGGGCTGCAGAGGCATTAGGAAAAGCAACACCAGCTGCATCCTGCAGAAATCCAGGTCGGCTGAAGAGTATAATACCCACTTTAAGAAGTTAATGGTGCAAATTCAATAGTAGGGTTCAGGTTGTCAGTGGTTTTTGCTGGCTGCTCCAGGGAGTCCCAACAGCCCTGTCAGCATCCAGGATGTGCAGCACACACCCCAGGCCTGGGACAGTCATGGCCTGGAGTTTGTCCTGTCTGCCTCACAGGTCTCCCCTGCAGCACAAGCCTCAGGTCATTCTGTACTCTGGGGCTGGGGACGATAAGATAGCTGACAGAGCTCCAACTTAGGCCTTTATTACCAAGCACAAGCAATGTTAACAGCTGCCCAGCTCTCTTCTTGAAATTAATATATCAGCATCACCTCAGTGCTGCTCAGGCCAGCACAAGGTCTGCTCTGAAAGGTTATCTAATGCAGGCAGGGCCTTTTGCTGCCCTGCTTCTTTGAGAAGCTCTAGTAATGGCAAGCAGTAACTTGGTTCAGGACATGGATGGGCCTAGACTGCACCACTGAGGGCAATAGCCTTTATTTCTAGGCCTGTGAAACAAAAGTCAGCTTTCCCTGTTTCCATACCCACTGTTTTCCCCTCCACCTGCAAACCTGACAACATGAACCAAAAATTATTTTCTTCCAACATTGCTGAGTCTCAGTGCAGGAGGAATTTCTTAGCTCTGCTACTAGAGAAGCATTTTCAAAGACATAAGTTTTTGTGGCACCTGTCACTTCCAAGGGAGTCTCCCCCTGGCCAAGAGAGGTTACAGAGGAGAACAGGGCCTAAAAGTGTCTCCACTACCATAGGTGTTAGCGCCTTTCTGTGATAAACCTACTGTTCGAGCCCTTCTCAGAATAAAAGCTTAATTGCACAGAGTCCATTTCTTGCTGCTTTGGGTTGGTTTCCCAGGATATTCTGCTCTGATCTGTTTCTCCCGTGAAAAGCCACTGACGACCAGTCCATGTTCACATCAGAGCTCCACCTATTCCTACCAAAACTGCCGAGGGAACATTATTGCTTCTGGAAATGAAGGTGACCTTAGGTGACAACTTCCATGCCACATAGCCCTGTAGCTACTGGAGCAGATATTTAGTAATTGCTCGGAATGCAACAGTTGCTACCATAGAAATAAATCATTTTCCTCACTTTACATTTGAAGTAGCACCCACAGCCTCACTCTAGCATGGGCATCAACACCACCCTTCCCCTGCAGTTAGAGCAACCACTTCAGAAAGGCAGAACAGCAGCACAAGCTTTAGAAACAGGAATTGCTCTTCATCCCAAACATGCAGAGACCTAAAATAGACCTTTCCCCATCATAAGGGCTTTGGGAGGAGACACCTGTTTTATTAAACCGCCTTCTCAGTCAGCACAGCTGCATGAAACTCCTGATACTACTGGGGCTGTAGCTTCAAGCATTTGGAGGATGCTTCAAGCATGTTAAGAATGAAGTTGAAAAGCTTTTAACTTGTAAGCTTTCATTAATAAACAGCATTTAAAGATTCCGATTATTAAAATAAACGAAAAGAGAAACTTCTCCTAATGGTTCCAAAGATACTTTGTAGTTAAAATCTCTTTATAAGTGCAACAGTTCACGTTTCCAGGCTTGCACACACAGATCCCTGACATCTGGCAAACCTGGGAACAGGTTGCCCAGGGAGGCTGTGGCTGCCCCAACCCTGGCAGCATTCAAAGCCAGCTTGGATGAAGCCTTGAGAAACCTGGTCTGGTGTCAGGTGCCCCTGCCCAGGGCAGGGGTTGGGTCTGAATGATCTATAAGCTCCATTCCAACCCCCAAAATTCTATGACCATTGTGTGCTAACTCTTGCATTCATGTCAGGTGAACCCAGTCTCCTCTTTTCAACCAGCACTTACAATACGATGTGGGCAGTTGCCCAGAAGGAGCTTGACATCCTGCTTCAGACTGAAAGCCAAGAGTTCCTCCAGCCGCAAAAGGACTGCACCAAAGTGTTCAAGATGCTAGCCACTGCCTACATCAAATACGTGCAAAGCTTCCGAAACCTGGAGACAGCCCATGACCAGCTCATTCACCAGCAGAAGCGGGCACTGATCCAGCAGGTGCTGGATGGCGTGATTGGCCGGATCCTGGAGATAAAAAAAGAGATGGTGAGACTGGAGAACTCCGAGTGTCAGTACATGGATGATATTCTGATGGATTTAAAGCTTCTCCCGGTAGGTCTACCTCTATTATGAGCAAATTCATAGGGACTTGCTTGTCCCATATTTAAGAAGAGTCACATTTACTCATAGTCTGATGTTCTGCCCAGCAATTTATGTTCTTGCAGAGTCCGAGGAGTACTGGGTGATTAGTAATTGTGGCATTTTCATTAATGAGGAGGGTATATTTGATCTATGATGAGCATTATATATTGGAGCAGGATTTTAAAAACTGATCTACTTGATCAATATGTTGCCTTTCTGCTTCTCCATTATAGCACAGGCTCTGTGGATCTTTCTCTTGCACATGAAGGCAGAACATGCCTTATTACCTATTACAACATGAGTTTCTGTTCACAGAATCCTAGAAGAGCTTGGTTTGGAAGGGACCTTAAAGCTCATCTCATTCCAATCCCCCTGCCTGGCCCCAGGCCTCTGCCAGAGGTTGCAGATGGTGCTGGAAGTAGAATAGACTGGTTAGGTTGTTTGTGGCACAACAAACTACTACAATGAGACATTTGAGACAAATCCCTTAAGGTGAAGGAGGCAGGAGCTGGAGGATGATCGGTGCCCAGGGCTGAGAAGTGCCTGGTGTAAAACAGCCCTCGACAGCTTACGAGCCGGGAATATGACAATAAGGCAAATTCTCACAGCTCTGCTCTGGAAGGAGTAGGAAAAGTGAGCTGGGAAAGGTGGTTACTTCTTTCGCAGACAGCTCCATCTATTGTCACGTTCAGGTACCGCTGCTTTGCTAAAAGCAGCTTAAATTCCTGCTTTGACTGGGGTCCCAGTTCTGAGATAAATTACCTGATATCATTATGGCATCATTCTGAGATCTGCAAATATGTTTCTGGTTGCCACTGCACAGCATTTCATTCTGCCAGTTTAGGATTGTGCTTGCTGTGAATTTTCCCCAGCTCTCTGCCTTCTACATCAATCACTAATTTAAACTATTTTAAACTATGAGAGAGTATAAACACATCTCTGGGGAAACTAATCCTTAAGATTGTATTTTGAAATCCTTAAGCACTGCTGTTTTCATGCCTGAGCAGTAAATCCACCTGCAGCAAAAGGTTGGCAAGTCTGAAATGTCATGTTTGACATCTATTAGAAAACAAGCATAAATTCAAATTCCTGCACCACACCTTAACTTTAAGAAGGCATAACATACCTACTTGCCACGAGAGGAATCAGTCAGGGAGGAGAGGTCAGACTTTTTCAAAAAACACATTTTCCATAGTAGATAAGAATAGGTAAGATTTATGGTGGGTTTTTTTATAAAATAATCAGTGTTCTTGGTTACAGAGCAAAATTACTTGACAAATAACTCCTGTTTCTTAAAGAGTCTGCCCAGAAAGGGTATCCCTAGTCCTTCTTTTTCCTGTATTATCATGGGCTAAAATCCAGCATGATTGCAGGCAGAGAACACAGCATAATAGTCTCATTTTGTATCTTATGTGATGATATTGCATATTTTTTTCTATGTCACTGTAAGGCCAAGCTTCATATTTCTCTAGTTCTGTGCCTCATGTTTTTGTGCACTTGCCTTCCAACATCCAGTCACTCCATTTCCTGGGGTAATTGCGAAGGTATTTGGATCCACAAATCCCATGTGGAGCCGGGAGTGGCTAAAAAGCTGAAAATTTGACTTGAGGATAAACATCCCAAGCTGAACTTTTCAATGCTGGGCCCCAAAAAAGGTTATGAAGAGAAGCAGGCTCCCCCTCCCTTCCAGCCCGGGAGCTGTGTCTTTGATCTCGTCTTTGCTGTCAGTACAAGTCACAGTCCAAAATCACTTATAACTAAAGGCCAGGTTAGGCATCAGGGATACTCATCACCCCTACACTGACTCACACTGCTACCTGACAGCATAAGAGCCCTCTCATCCCTCGTGAGGGTGTCTGCACAAACCACTTTAGTTCTAATCCCTCGAGAAAGCCAGATTTCTAATCCACCCAGAGCAATTTGCACTCTCAAAGTACAACATGTAATCATTGCCATCAACAATCAGGGGTGTTGGGAGGTGCAAACAGGGATCTTAACAAGATAAATATTTAGAAACTTGTAGCAGGCCAGACCTCTGCATTGATAAAATTATCAGGGATAAACACAGTCCAGCTTGGAAGCTTTCTCATGCTGCCCTGATAGGGGTGTCCTGGTCTGCACAGTGTGCAGCCGAGGGAATGAGTAATGAAATCTGTGAGTTGGCAGTTCACAGGAGTTATTTGCTGGGGCCACATCCCTGCAAATTCTTGCTTCAGAAATTGGAAGGCCTTAGGGCTCACAAGCAGCACATGTACCATGCAACTGGGTTAGAGCAGGAGCAGTGCTGGGTCCTTACAGTCAGTTCTTTTCTCCTCCTACCTGTCCACACCAAAGCTGGCATCGAGGCTGCACAGGATCAAGTCAAAGGTGTCCCTGAGCAGGTCAAAGCACACCAGTTTCCATAGCAGACAGATGAGGGAGTACTGATAGTGCAGCACCAAGTCTTGCATCTGTCTTGGGCTTCACATGTACCTGAGGACAAGTTATTGTGTAACTTGACTGTGTCTCCTTGTGAGCAGCACTGTGGGATAAGTGCTGCCTGACTCCCCATCCCTTCTTCGTTCCTTTTGGGCAAAGTCATGTCTTGAGGAGATATCCTAGGTGATCCTGAAACAGCATATAGGGGGCATGGCAGCAGCATGAACCAGACCTATGAAGACGCATTTCCCCCCGAAGAAATATACTTGGCAGTATCTCTAGTTCTGGAGAGGCTTTTTTTTGTCTGCCTGTTTGTGTCTCTTTTCATTTCTCATCTACAGGAGAAGAATCAGGAGAAATGTAAATCAGTTACATCTTTTTTTAATGCTGGAAAAGACAGCGATTTCTAGTCAAGCCTGATTTTAAGGTGTGACTGAGACATTGCAGTCACAGACAGGAACAGTTTCTCTACAAGTCAAAATACCTGTAGAAGAACTGAATTGTGCTTTGGTTCCTTGTAACAGTTAAAAAAATGCAGGAAAACAGAACTATTTTTCATGTTGATCAGAACAAGAAGTGAGATGCTAACACAACCAGAGGTATTCAGCTCAGTGGAAATCGTGTTTAAATTTCCGTCAACCCTGCCAAATATTTTAACAATTTGATAGTGTAATTGAGCCATAATGCAAAGAAAGCGTTCTGGGCTCACATGGTTCAGAAGCTGGGTTGATTATTTTTTATTTTGTTGAATTAGGCCTTAAGTAATTGCAAAGTAACAGCAGCTGTTACAGAGGTCAAATTCCCCAACCCTCCAAAATATTCCACAAACTCCATCCAGTTTAATTGTTTGGTAAAGGTGATCAGTTCATCAGTAGTGTGATTTAAATACAGTGCTAAAAAGCATCATATGATTTTCTTCCTCTAGGAAGACCTAGAAATACCCATCCCAAGGTACTTCATTAAGGAAAACCTGGAAGTCCTGCGGCAGAGGGAGAAAGCCCTGGATGAGATTTTGCTGGATGCTGGTTTACAAGAGGAGGTAAGTGTCGCTCATACCTACATATCATGTCTAAGTGCTGTAGTCTGTAGCCACATGTGCCTGAGCACATGAGCCACTGAAGTGAGAAGTACTTTTCTAGCAGTTAGGAAGTAAAAGTCTGTTTACAGATAAGTCACAGACAGAAAGTAACATTAAATTTTCCTGTCTAGCAATATCCAGCCACATCTCGTGTCTGGTTAAGGCTGAAATGAATCATCTTTGCTTAATGCATGTGAGAGTGTCAGAGAAAGGGCAGCAAGTTTAGTAGGTGCTTTATTTCTCTGGTTAACCCGCATCACCTACTACTGAAATCAAGTCGGGCTGAAGTTTCCTGGACCAGGATTCCTCACTGGAGCAGGCAGAACTCGGAGTTCAGGTCAGCACAGCTGCTGGCCTTCAGTTGTTTATAACCTCTGAACAATGAGCATAGTCTCTTCCATGCAGCTACAGAGCTGCAGCTGCTTGGAGGAGTAGAAAATTGAGTTTAGACAGCGCAAAAGTCATTACTGGGAAGGACATGAGCTTTCCAGTGAGGACTGGTCTGGATTTGATATACTTTTGACCTTTTGGAAGTAGCGCATTGCTTACAAGGAGGAACTCCTAACCCCTTGAAATAAACAACTGTGCCTACATGCCTGGATGACTTACATTCATAGATGTTGTAGCCATAAGAGGCAGCCCTGATAGACCACTTAGTCAAAGTGGTGCACATTCTCCACCGGTGATTGTGCTGGTGGGGGAAAGTCTGCATGTTGGTGCCACAAAATAACAGATGGAAAGTTCCCAGGGATAGAACAGCCCCAGAGAGACAGAGGCAGCCTGCAGAGGCAGACACAGGATCTCTGCTAGGTGCTGTAATGGGCAGCTATGGTCCTCCTGGTCTCCACAGGAAAGCTCTGGGTAAATTCTCTGCTCTTCTACTAGTCTGATGTTGGTCTGTGGAGATCCTGTTTTGGCACTTTCTGTCTTGAAGTCTTTTTGTTACTCAGAGTTTTACTCTCACTCCTCTTCAGCATGGCATCCAATACTATGTGGTGTATAGCCAGCTCACCTGAGAGCATGGCTCCCTTGCTAGGCTGCCACAGAGAAGTACAGGATAAATATGAGTAAAATCAATGTGAATCCAGTGCCCTGTGCTGCACTTCCAGCTCAGCCACCTCTGGGATTGCCAGTGGGTTGTCAGCACTTCAGCCATGAATCGTAGCAAGCTGTTTACACTCAGGAAATCCTACCTGCTGTGTGACAGACCACTGAGTTCTCCAGTGTCTGTGGCAGTGCTGTTATGAGCAGTCCAACATAAATCAAAACCAGTGGAATTCAGATGAGGAATCTGCTCTGCAGGTTGTTTCTCCTTCTGTGCAATTCTGTTATAGAAAGCCCTGCTGAAAGCATAGAACAGTAAGTGCCATGCAATCTATAGAGAAGCATTAGGTATAGTCTGTCTCGAGCTGGGCATTACCATCAAGAAAGGACATTAATTTAGCTTTTCCATGGAGAGCATGAGGATTCTCAAGAGTGGGGAGTCCCTCTCCCCAACTCCACTGTTCTGATACATTTCTCCCCAAGCCTCTTTTTCCTGGGCTGGGCTGACTCAGAACAGCCAGTCCTTCCATTGAGTAGACAAACTGGGGTCCCAGCAGCACATCCAGAAACCCATTCCTTCAGAAAAGGATAAGGATACCCTAAGTAATCCTCCTTTTAACAGGACAAAGCCCCATGGTTCTTTATGTCTTTTTTTCTCACAGATAAGGTTCAGCCAGGATGCATAAGCCATACAGAGCCATTGTGGCTCCTACTGCAGCACCAGGTTTTCCTCACCACACATCAACACGTCAGGTTCACTTTCTCCTGAAGGTCCTCAGAAAAACACATCTCACTAGGTATCAAACCTCCAAGATATTGCAAGACAGCACTGGCACAGGAGGCTCTGCTTGTTTGTGACAGGGAGGTTTTTTACCTTAGGCAGTTTCCACAAGTAGTTCATTCATTGTTTCATTTGCTAACTGGGTAGGCAATGAACAAAACATATAACTCTCTTACTTTTCTTTGTTCATTCCTTTCTGGCTGTGTTGTTGAAGAAACACGTCAAGGCCATGACAGTCGAAGAAGCTGTCAGAGTGATCCAGACTGCAGAGCGGGCTCGCCAAGGTCGCTGCCGAGCAGCATTCATGAAGCAAATTTACCTGAAAGACAAAATGCAAACTAAACCTGAGGGCCAGATGGGTCCAAGCCCAGATGATGCTGCCATTTTCATTCAAAAGGTGATTTTCTGATTTAACAACTACTCTGGCAAAGCCAAATCACAGTGTTTTGTTCAGAAAAGCAGCAGTAGACAGAAACTCAGCTCACAGAAGGGGAAGCACTCAGAAATTATGACTTTCGGGGTGTTCAGCAAGGTGAAGTACATCATTTGAACCACTTAGCCAAACAAGACAGGACCTTAGGTATGAGATCAGTGGAAACTGTCCTGCGCTGGCAATGTGGGATGACTTTGCAAACTACATGGGGTTTTTTCCGTTCTGATTTCTGTGATGCAGTTGCTCTTTCTGGCATCCCTTTGGAATTCAGTACATCTCAGAACTCATGCCTTTTCCTGTGATCTCCAAGGAAAGATTTCACTCCATATCTTGACAAATTGGCAGAAGGACATCAGTGCTAAATTCCAGAAGATAGACCAGGGTGAGGGGATAACAAACCTCAAAATTTGTTAAAAAATTAGAAATAGCAGATGGCAACCTGTTAAAAAGCAATAGTTTCAGTGGTATATTGTGCCTTTCCTTCCTTTATGTGTTTTTTCCTGTGTCTGCCCCAGTAAAGGAAGCTGTAACAAGGCCCATTTATCTCATTAGAGTTTTGTTTACACTTCAGGTTTGGCGTGGATATATCCAGCGCAAGGAAACAGAGAAAATGAGAGAAGAGGAAATGATATTATTGGGGATGGTAAGTGCTGCTGCCTAGAGAATACAAAATGCCACACTCTTTTCTTCAGACTTCTATAATTCAGCACAAGAGGAGAAATTAATTTCTAGGATTCTTGCTGTTTGAGAAGGAGTCTCCAGGGGATCCAGAACTAAACTGAAATGATAGATGGCACAGGACTAGCACAATTTGTCTTGTGCTGAATGCTTTAGTGCTGTCTGTTCGTAGCCCAGTGTATGTGGCAGATGTGAAATGGGCTGTGTAGGATTTGCCCCAGGTTCTAGGGAGTTTAACCCAGGTGTGATAGAGTAAGGAAATTTTATTAGTCAACTTTTCAGTTACGATTTCAAGACATTGCAGCTGCTGTGTTTTTGGAGTAGAATTCATATAGTTGCTAAGGTTAGAAAGGCCCTGTAAGATCATCAAATCCAACTATTAGCCCAGCAGTGTCAAGTCCATCACTAAACTATGTCCCCAAGTGTCACATCTACACTTCTTCTGAACCCTTCCAGGAATGGTGATTCCACCACTGCCCTGGACAGCCTGTTCCAGTGCTTGACAGCCCTGTCAGTGAAGAAATTCTTTCTAAAATCCAATCTAGTTAAGGCAGCAAAGTCATCTTTTCCCACCCCTTTGCAAGCCACTGCATGTGTATGTCAAGAGTGAGGAAGAGACATTAGAACTGGCACCTTAATACTTCAGTATTTCATAGAATCATAGAATCAACCGGGCTGGAAAACACTTCCAAGGTCATCAAGTCCAACCCTACCGTCATTATTAGACTATGGCACTAAGTGCCACATCCAGTCTCACCTTAAAAGCCTCCAGGTTTCACCTCTCATTCTAGGGATGGTGAATCCACCACCTCCCTGGGCAGACCATTCCAATGCCTGATCACTCTCTCCATAAAAAATCTCTTTCTAATATCCATCCTAACCCTCCCCTGGCAGAGCTTGAGTCTCTGCCCTCTTGTCCTCCTGCTGGTTGCCTGGGAGAAGAGACCAACCCCCACCTGACTCCAACCTCCTTTCAGGGAGTTGTAGGGGGTGATAAGGTCTCCCCTGAGCCTCCTCTTCTCCAGGCTGAACACCCCCAGCTTCCTCAGCCTCTCCTCATAGCACTTGTGCTCAAGTCCCTTCACCAGCCTCATTGCTCTTCTCTGGACCTGCTCCAGCACTTCAGTATCTCTCCTGAACTGAGGGGCCCAGAACTGCACACAGTACTCAAGGTGTGGCCTCACCAGCACTGAGTACAGGGGCAGAATCACCTCCCTGGTCCTGCTGTCCACGCTGTTCCTGATCCAGGCCAGGAATTGCCCTTAACTACCTTGCAAGGTTATGAAAACTAATTGTGCCCATAACATACATCTCACATCAGTTAAGAATAACCTTTGGGAAATAACATGTACCTTTACCTAAGCTGTGCCATGTTAAACACAGAGAGCACCTTATGGGTTATTACCTTTAATATCTGCTGATCATTAAGAGTAAGTGTGGCCAGCATAGCTAATCAGAGCCTTGGGTGACAATTTTGCCTTTGTTGAAGACAGAATTCCCAGTGATTTTAACTAGTGCAGACCTAAATGGTGAACACTTGGGATGTACTGAAAATGAGTTATAAATTACATCTTTTGCAAAACAAGGGATTGTTTCCTATCAACTCCCACAATGGTTTTTGTCAAGTCTCTAGACTAGAGTCTTGGGAAGGAAATCTCAGTCTGGCATCAGTCACTGGGGGATTCACAGGCAAGCCCTCATTTCGTGGTGGCCAACAGTGGGAGTAGCTCAGAACTAGAATGTTAATAGCCTAGTTTATGGGGAGCATAATAGAATCTATATGATCGTGGGGATGAAGGGAATTGAAACCAAACATACCTAGTGTATTCATTTCCTGACCTCCATTTAGGAGCAAGAGAATTGATGTTTGCTACTCTGCACTCTGACTCATTGCTCTTTATCAAGTACATAATCAAAGGATGTACGGAAAAAATCGATACCTTTAGATAAAGAAAAAAAAATCCCAAAAACCTGCTTGTTGTTCTAGTGCTTTTATATTCCCTTGTACTTTTCATGCTGCATTCCCTTCCGTGGTCTCTGCAGGAAGTGAGTGGTGGGCAGACACTGGCTCCCACTGACAGATTGGCAGTGGACTCCAGAGGTCAAGTCTCTTTGATGTATGATCACATCAGCCCTCTAAAAAATTACCACAGACCTTCATGTGTAAATATGTTGAATTTGCTTTTCTAATGCTGCACGACTTAGATAGATTAGGAGACCCAGCCATCCATTACTCCAGGTCCATCCCAAAGGAGACTCCACTTCTGCTGCAGTAAACATAATTTCTCTTATAATTAGGGCTGTTTTTAAAATGTCTGTGTTACTTTCAGATGGAGACTGTTTTGCAAAAAGAGCTGGTCCATTTGAAGTTCTGGATAACAATTTCTGGGAAAATTCAATTGTGTTGACCTAAAATCAGGAAAATAAGTATAAAACCCAGCAATTATCCAGTCTTAATTCAGTATGATTTTCATTACTGTCTACTTGCTTCACAGAAAGTTTTGTATCTTTTCTGGAATTTGATTCTGTTTTATCTTTTGCTTGATGACAGAGTAGAAACCTATGTTGCAGGCATTTTTCTTGGCTCAAAAGTAAAGCCTTGTTATTTTATCATTACTTATTAAAGCCTAATTGCAGGAACAGTATGATTCCCTCAGCACATGTTTTTCTAAAACTCTGATAAATCACACTCTGCAATGCCAGTTTCATTTGGAAAGAGGAGCAAGCCTCACTAAGAGCACATACATCTTGATAACTGTATCCTGAACTGTTTCCTCATCTTCCTCAAGTTCGTGCCATAGTGCTGTTTACTGCCCGTTCCAGCATGGCCACCGTAACCACTGCTCCAGGCACAGGTCTGTGTTTGAGCCACACCAGTCACACTGAGGGGACAAGAAAACACGTTAGTGGTCTGAACATATGTGTGATGTCTGAACAAACCTGCATTTCCTTGCTCTGCCTATTTTACCATTACAGCTCAATTATAATATACTATTTTTCAGCCTGGAAAAGAGAAGGTTGTATGGAGACCTCAGAGCAACTTTTCAGTATCTGAAGGGGCTACAAGGGAGCCAGAGAGGAACTCTTTGTTAGGAACTGCAATAATAGGACAAGGGGTAATGGGTTCAAGCTGAAGGAGGGAAAGTCTAGGTTGGATGTGAGGAAAAGGTTGTTTCCTGGGAGGGTGGTGAGACACTGACACAGGTTGCCCAGGGACGTGGTGACTGCCCTGACCCTGGTGGTGTTCGAGGCCAGGTTGGATGAGGCCTTGAGCAACCTGATCTAGTGAGGAGGTGTCCCTGCCCATGGCAGGGGCTTGGGACTAGGTGATCTGTAAGGTCCATTCCAACCCCTAAATTCTATGGTGATGATTTTTGCAGTTCTTAGACTGGTGCCTACTTCCACATGTCTGTTTCTGCCATTTATGAACTCCCTGCTGCCAAACGCCTCATGAGAGGCTTCTGTGATTGTTTCGTTTTGCTGCAGAGCAGGTTAGCTATCAACTTGGTGTAACTGGATGTGTGAAGTGGTTTTTGGCAACTGCCTTGTCTCAGGGTAATTCAGAGCAGCCCAAGCCTTAACAGGCTCTCCTGACAGGGCAGACCCTGAAGGAAGTTAATACTCATAATCTCAGAACACAGGCTACTGGAAAGAGGAAAGGCTGGTTTTAAAATAAAATGTTAGGATGAACAGGTTGCATCAGGCTGATTTATGGAAGGGGAGGAGGAGCCTAGGAAGGAGAAGCACAAAAAGACAAGTTCTTCTCCCCAGCTCCACTGTTCTGATACACTTTTCCCCAAGCCTCTTTTTCCTGGGCTGGGCTGACTCAGAGCAGCCAGTCCTTCCCTTCCAGTAGACAAACTGGGGTCCCAGCAGCACATCCAGAAACCCATTCCTTCAGAAAAGGAAAACATTCCATACCCTACGTAATCCTCCATTTAACAGGACAAAGCCCCGTGGTTCTTTATGTCTTTTTTCTCACAGATAAGGTAAAGCATAAGCCAGACAGAGCCATTGTGGCTCCTACTGCAGCACCAGGTTTTCCTCACCACACATCAACACGTCAGGTTCACTTTCTCCCAAAGGTCCTCAGAAAAACATGTCTCACTAGGTATCAAACCTCCAAGATATTGCAAGACAAGGCAGCACCAATTTAAGGGCTCAACCTAGTTTTGCAGCTTTGAGTCAGGGATTCTCCCAAGGCCTGGCCATCCCCTTGCTCATCTTTTCCCTTAACAAGCACAAGTAATCCATCCCAATCCCATTGGAGCCAAGCGCTCTACATGCTCAAACAGTTTATAGGGTTAAGCCTGATTCTGGTCATGCATACACAAAAACCTTATTGTCTCGTGGGGACAGTTTACACAGCTCACACTGCTCTAGTCACAAATTTCAGCCCTTCTCAAGAGGTTGTGGTGCAATACATGATGATCTGTGATGTATCTCCTTGGATATAGAGGAAGGATGGTGTAAATATTGTATATATTTCCATCATCCTTCCTCTATATCCAAGGCCATGTTGGTTGGGTCTTAGAATCGTAGAATCAACCAGGTTGGAAAAGACGTCCAAGAACATCAAGTCCAACCCCACCATGGTTACTATGGCACTAAGTGTCTCATCTTCAAAACCTCCAGGGGTAGTGAATCCACCACCTTCTTGGGCAGACCATTCCAATGGCTGATCTCTCTCTCCGTAAAAAAATCTCTTCCTAATATCCAACCTAAACCTCCCCTGGCAGAGCTTGAGTCTGTGCCCTCTTGTCCTACTGCTGGTTGCCTGGGAGAAGAGACCAACCCCCACCTGACTCCAACCTCCTTTCAGGGAGTTGTAGAGGGTGCTAAGGTCTCCCCTGAGCCTCCTTTTCTCCAAGGCTTGGAGCAGCCTGGCCTAGTGGGAGGTGTCCCTGCCTGTGGCAGAGGATGGAACAAGATGAGCTTCAATTCCCTTCCAACTCAAACCATTCC